GTGGGGTGTGCCGTGAGGGCCAAGTGGATTCTTTGCCTGTAGGAACCTGGGTGCTCTTCCAAACATTGTTGGGCGTAGCTCCCAAGCACTGCACCAGGAACGGCCCTTGAGCTCTGCCGGATGTGGTTAAAATATAAATAAATGGATGCTGTTGTGTTAGGTAATCACACACTTTCAAGGCAATCTTGCATTTTTGGTAAGTCCGGGAATTAGTGGAGACACTTAATCACAGCGGAAGCAATGCAGAATAATCATTTTTGTTCACTTTCCAGAGGTCAAATATCCCATTATCATTGCAAAGGGATAACTTAAACAAAACCCCCTTTTTAAAATAAAAGAATTTAGATTTCGTATTAATAATTTCTGTCACTGAGTATGCACCAGAGAAATAATCACACTAATCCCTGGCAGCATGTCTCTGCTTCATGGACATACACTAGCTTATCAAGTAATTTGTACTAGGAAGTAAATGAAGCTTAATTCCTGTCTTGCTCTTTGATAGTTTTCATTGACCTTTGCTAGCTTAGATGTGAAAATTAGGGGCTGGGAAGATGGCACAGGGCATGAGTTGGGCCTGTGGGTTGGATCTCTGGCACTCCAGGGCTCCCAAGCACTACAGGGTATGGTTCTGGAGTCCCCCGGCACTGCCTGGTGGTTCTGGTGTCCCCACCCCTTAAGTACTGAATAACAATCACTTCCTCAGGTCCCAGCACTGAGCCACTGACCCTGTCCGCCAGGAGTTCCATGAGGAATAATGCCCAGGCCTGCTGAGCACTGCCCAGAAGAATATATCTTAAAATAGTTTTGCTGCACATTTTTTGGTAGCTGATAGTGGGAAAACTTGAATGTACTCTACTTTATATTTTACAAAGTAGTCTTGGTTGCTTACAGCTTTTCTGCTTCCAATATAAGAAAATATTCCTTAGAAAATGCTTTCAGCAGAGAAGAACTAGCAAGCCAGTCAACTCATAAGTATCTAATGGTTCCGGAGGCAACGGAACATAGTACTAGAAATGAAATTACCAGAATTAAATTTGTATTACCCCCTCAGCTTTTGTGCTGGTTTCAGGGTTTTGCACAGGATCAATGTGCTGCTAGTATTTGCATACATAAATTTATTCTATATAAACTTTGGGGGGTAGAGGGCCACCAAGCAGTACTGAGGATCTCCAGATTCTGTCCCAATGATTCTGATTCTTGCCAACTGGACTGATTGCATAGTGCTCAGGACAAAGGCTGCAGTGCTGCTCTGATTCCGTGATGCCAGACATGACCTGTATAATCTCCGGGCAGCTAGGGAGAGTCCCAATGACTGGCTCTCTCTCTCTCTCTCTCTCTCTCTCTCTCTCTCTCTCTCTCTCTCTCTCTCTCTCTCTCTCTCTCTCTTTCCCCCCCCCCAACCTGGGTTCGTCCCAGGCTATGGGGCAGATGAAAGAGGAAACAAGGACCAAGCCAGTTGATGATCAGTTACCGTTCATTCTATTCTCCCCACGCGCCTGTTCCAGTCTCACTAAGCTCCCCATTCTAGTCTCACACTGCCCCCTCATTCCCGACCCCCCTGTCTCTCCTGCTCATCTCTCCTCGCTCCATGTGGCAGTCACATCTCTCATCTCTCCGTGTGCCTGCTCCTGCATTCTTGACCTACATTCTCCTTCTTGTCCCCCTTGCTAGTCTCTCTGCGCTCCATCTTGCTGCCCTCGTCTCTCCCTCTCATCTCTCCAACTCACTCCCTGTATTGGGGGTAGCCACCACACCCCACAGCAGCACAATCAACACATCAAAAGCCCTTCCTGACTCCCCATCAGGCTCAAAGGTGGAAATCCCACCTAGGGGGTTTTCTTCTCAGTTAGTCCAATAATTCAATTAACATCTTAATTAACATCTTAATTCTACTTCTTAATATTATTTGTTTTGTATGGACACAGTAAGAGATACATTGAGCTTCTAGGGTGACTCTCCTGGGGACCTCTCGCTATAGACTCAGACTATAGTGCTCAGGCCAAATTAATTATTCACAACCCTAGCAGGGTCCAAATCTAGTTATTATTTTTTGGATCATGACAGAATTTGTCCATGACCAAGCTCTTAGTTAATAGTAAAAGCATTATGGTTCTTTGGTCAGGCCCATTTTGATGCCAGGGTAGCACATAGCTCACAGCTTGCCCTGGGTCCATCCAGTCCCTTGTCAGAACCCTGCTTTGGGGATGCGAGGAATTAAGGGCAACTGAGGCTTAGGTCAAGAGAACAGATACCTTGGAGGTAATATCTGAAGTCAATTAACTCCCAAGTTACAAAAGCATGGCATTAACTGTCTTCCTGTGTCTGTACAAAAAGGACTTTGCTCTGAATTAACTAAGCAAAGGACTTAAGGAGAAGAGAAAAACAATATTTACAAGTCAACAGAGCACAAAGAAATAAGTTACAAGTAAACCCAGAGGAATGGGAGCACTGTGATGGAAACTACCCAGTGAATCTAAGCTCCCTGTGACAAGGCAGAAGGGATAGACCAATGTTATCCTACAATGACCCACCACCCACTGTGCTCCAGACCCTCCCTGGCTAACCTGATGATGCTCAGTGGACTGTGTGGTGCTGGGGATGGAATCTGGATTGACTACATGCAAGACAATTGCCTCAACCCCAGTTTCATTTCTCCAGGCCCCACTACATACATCACATATACATTTCTTAAGCTTTCGGAGAGTGAGACACAGCTCACATTTTTGTGACTCATTTCCTATAATCTGGTACTTTTTTGTTTGTTTGGGGACATGCCTGGTAGTGCTCAGGGCTTACTACTGATTGTGCACTCAGGAATCACTCTTAATAGTGCTCAGGGGATGCCAAGGATCAAACCTGGATCAACAAACACTCGACCTGATGTTCTATCTGCTGCTCCGTGGGTCCTAATTTGATCATTTTTAACAAATGAAATTAATTTCCTAACCTCAAACACGAGTTCAAAACTTCAATTCTCGTCTTAATTCTGAAGTAAAAATGTTAAGGTGAGGCATCTATTATTTTTATATTTTTATATCTTGTTTTCTTAGCCTTAAGGGCTGGAGTGATAGCACAGCGGTAGGGCGTTCGCCTTACAATCGGCCAACATGGCCGAGCCGAGTTCGATTCCTCCGCCCCTCTCGGAGAGCCCGGCAAGCTACCGAGAGTATTCGATATGCCAGACACAGTAACAACAAAGTCTCCAATGGAGACGTTACTGGGCCCGCTCGAGCAAATCCACGATCAACGGGAGGGCCTTTACCTTTTCTTAGCCTTTATACTAGTAACATATAGATCTTGTTCTGGTGCCCCAAAACAAAGATGTATTGATTCTTTTTAAACACCAACTGTTACACAAAAAGAGATAGGAAAACAGATCAAAAGTGTAAGTGGGAAAGAGATCTTACAGGTTGAGCACATCCCTTGCAAATAGGAGGCCTTCTTCTGTCCCTGAACAACTTGAACAACTTCAGAGCATCAACATTGGAATAGCCTGGGACCTCTTTGGATCTATCAATCAGTCAACACATAGAATCTGCTCTTTGATAGCCTTTTGACCTTGGAATTAGGACTTATCTACAGTAAGAAGCCTGTTTCTCCCTTCCAATTGTATTCATTAAGGAATGCAAAGTTGTAAAATTTTACTTGCCAATATTTGTCAGAGGTTCAGCCTAGGAAGACCAGTTAGAAGAGGTTTTAAATCACTGTCCAGCCAGCATTGAGAGAATATCACCTCCTTGACCACTGAGGTTTAACATTACCCAGGACAATCCTTAATAATGGATGGGTCAGTAGAGCAATACTGACTAACATTTAAAGCATCTGAAAGCTTAAAAGAATTGAAATTGGAAATTCAGAGAAAAGTCAGAAAAGGAAAAAGAATTCCCATAGAACATGAGAGTGGTCTCAGCATGGTGGTGGCTGGTCCTGGAGGTCTTCTCAGCCACCACCATGCTGAGACCACTCTCCGCACACATGAAGGTACTGGCAGAGGGACAAAGCCACGCGGGTTCCGGGGCCGAGACCTCCAAGCCTACTCGAATTGGAGTCGAGCATCTTCCACCCAGATCCTCCAAATTCCAGTAGGCGGGGGTCACACCCACCACCTGGCCCCCTGGCACCGTGTAATCCCATCAGCGGCCAAGACTCAGAGACTATAAAATTCAGATCCCGGAACCGCGCGGCCGCATTTGCGGCCGCGCGACATCTTATCAGAACTTTTCTTTATGACATCTTATTGTCTCATTCCTACTTTGGACAAACTTGCAGGCTATCGAATGTAGCCTGCCCACAGGGCAGAGTCTGGCAAACTCCCCGTGGCCTACCAAATATGCCAAATACCAGTAACAATGATGGGTCTCATTCTCCTAAAGAGCCTTGAATATAATCTCAGGGCTAGGATGAAAGAGACGTTACTGGGGCCTGCTCGAGGCAATCGACGATTAACAGGATGATGAAATGAAAAAAAATGAAAAATAGAACATGAGCAGACAGAATTAAAGACCAATGACATTATGACTGTCAGTGGCAGAAACAGCATTGGAAAAAGAAGGAAAAAAAACTAGTTCTGCCTTCAAATGCTTATCAATTCAGAGTGCAGCATAGAATGCTGATAATATGAAGCAAGGTATGGCAAGAACCATTAACATGAAATTGTGTAGTTTAGCGACCATGCAGTTGAAAATGGAGAGCATCATAGTGAGTGAAAGCAGACAGGAGGGCAGATACAGATCCATCTCTCTTATGTGGGATATAAGAAACATGTAACACTATAGCACTGCCCTCCCGTTGTTCATCAATTTGCTCGAGCGGGCCCAGTAACGTCTCCATTGTGAGACTGCTGTTATTGTGTTTGGCATATCAAATACGTCACGGGGAGCTTGCCAGGCTTTGCTGTGCAGACGAGATACTCTGGGTCGATTGCCTGGCTCTCCGAGAGGGGCGGAGGAATCGAACTCGAGTCGGCCATGTGGGCTGTGTGCAAGGCAAACGCCCTACCCGCTGTGATATCGCTCCAGCATATACTAAAATTGGAATGATACAGAGAAGATTAGCATGGCCCCTGTGCAAGGACGACATGCAAATAAAAAACATAATCAGGAAATAATAGATGGCCAAGGGGAACAGAACCTGAGAGCTGTTCTGCAGAGTTGAGCTTACCAAGGGAAGGCTGGGAGGAGGGAAGGATGGCAGAAGGAAGCGAACACTATGATGGAGGGTGGAGGGTTGGAACATTGTCTGCATGAAACTATTGTAACAGTATTGATGCATGGTGCTGTAATTAAAATATCTTTAATGTGTGATTAAGGTGAATATGCAGTTCAAAGCTCCAAACTTGAGTTCAGTTCTCTAATTTGACAAATATAAAGATCAAGTGCAATATTTTGGTTAATGTGTGAAATTAGAATTCAGGTAATTCTGGTCAGGTGTCAATCAGAAAAATGAAAAGCATGCTAAGATCCATAGTATGCCTACATTAGAGAAGTCCTTGGTGGGTCAGAGAGATGGTTACAGCCACTAGAGCACTTGCCCTGCATGTAGACAACCCAGGTTTGATCCCGCTGTTCCATGTGGTCCCCTGGGCAACGACAGAAGTAACTGCTGAATGCAGAGCCAGGAGTAAGCCCTGAGCATCTCTGGGTATGGCCAAAAAAAAAAAAGAAAAAAATCATTGCCTTATGTGATGGTGGGATCTGGCTAAGCTAGTCTGAAGACCACAGGGCAAACCAACAGGAAGAGTGGGCTGGACCATACTCTTTGAAGCTGCAGTCCACAGGTAAAACATCTCACCAGGGAAGAGACGTCAGTGTCACTCCTAGAGAGTTTCCTACTGGTTGAGTTAGGCCCACGAAGATTATCTAGGAAAAACTAGGATTAACTCCTTTTGTTCCAATCATCTGGTTAGGGGCTTGAACACATCCTAAACTACCTTCACAGCAGCACCTAGACTGTGACTCAGCACCCCAGGGGAGACTATAGCCAAGCTGACTCGTGAAACTGCCCCTTAGAGCAAACCAGGATGAAGTGCCAAGACTATCACTTCCCAGCTATATGGTTGTGAGAAAATTTTTCCAAATCCTTACTTTGGAGGCTGGAGAGATAGTCCAGCAGTTAGGGTGCTTGGTTTGCACACAGTCAACCCAGGTTTGAGCCCCTGTATCCCATGTGGTTCTCTGAGCCCAAACAAGAATGTCATAAAACACAGAGCCAGGAGTAAGCCCGGAGCTTAGCTGGGCATGTCCCACATGACAAAAGACAAGATAACAGAATTACTTTTAGAGAAGTTATGATGCAGCTCACTTGGTCTAATTTAAGTATATAAACTGAGTCCTTATGGAGGGAAGCAGGTTACTCAGCTTCCCTTCACGTATCTCCCTTTATCTCCTTATCTTTAAATAGAGACTAGTCCAATGTCCAACAACATAGTTGTGGCTCATGGAATGGAATACTATGCAGCTATAAGGGAAAAAAAAAAGAAGAAATACTGCCACTCACTGCAATGTGGGTGGAACAGAAGGTCATTGTGTTAAGCGAAATAAGTCAGTGGGAGAAGAACAAATACCAGATGATCTCACTTGTCTGTGGAATAGAGAGACAAGACAAGAGAATAAGTGACAAGCCCTGGATCTTGAGTTTACAAATCTGATTAACACGGAGTGGAGGGAATAAGAGGGCTGAGAAGCAGATGAGAACTGATGCAGGGACAGTGGCAGAGGGTTGTAAGAACTTTGTTAATTTGATGATTAACTTTACATCAGTCAAGCTGGTGTAAAGTTAATCAAATACTGAAATACTGAAAGGTTATTGTCTACGTATCCCGCTACCTACTTTCAACACTCAGTTCTTATCCTGAGTGATCATTTCTAATTATTATAATTAAAATAAATTTAAATTAAAAATAAATTCAAACAAAAGTAAAGTGAGGATAGTAGCAACAGCACCTTCCTAGAATTATTATAAAAACTTTAAAATCTGATACCTATAAAATGCCAAGAACTTACTGGGAAAATATCCAACTCATTTCAGATCATTTCATCCACTTCCAAAAATGGGCTTCACCTGTGAAATATGATATTTCTCCTGCAGGTTAAAGAAAAGGACTATTAGATATTTATAATAGTGTTTCCAAAAGGTAAAAGGTAAAGGTAAAGGCCCTCCCGTTGATCGTCGATTTGCTCGAGCGGGCCCAGTAACGTCTCCATTGGAGATTTTTGTTGTTACTGTGTCTAGCATATCGAATACTCTCGGTAGCTTGCCGGCTCTCCGAGAGGGGCAGAGGAATCGAACTCGGGTCGGCCATGTTGGCCGCGTGTAAGGTGAACGCCCTACCGCTGTGCTATCGCTCCAGCCCAAATAAATAAATAAATAATCAAAATTAAATTAAAATTTATTTGTTCCTCCTATTTGCCAACATTTTGGTTGTAATTATAGAAATTATATCTGTAATTTCCCCAAAAGACATAACTATAGATATACTACAGATATACTTGCACATATTTGTACAGTATTAAACAAATACTTGCATTGCAATAATGTAAAAGAAAACATACAAGTTGCCATCAAAGAGAGACTGTATTCTTGGGTATCCAGATCAACAGAGCTTTTGAATAAATAAATAAGAAAGTTTTCTATAAACTGATAGATAAATATATTCAATGTATATAAAATGAAAGAAGGCCAAGTATAAAGTATTAAAAGGCTAGCCCGGGGGATGGAGGTTATAGATTCATGTCTTCATATTTTCATTAAAGGTACTTTATGTATTTCTTAGCTGAAGTTTTGAGCTTTGCCCCTGAAATGCCACAGTATGATAAATCAATAGCAAAGGAGGAGAAAGAAATCTTGGAGGTTACAAAAGAAATCAATAGAGAAGCAGCTTGCAAAGTGCTGGCTGCACACAGTGAACAAAAGGCAGGACTTGAAAAAAAATTTCAGTTTATCTTGTTTCTTAGATAGATCCAAATCATGTGCATGTGTTTCCTATTTTTAAAACACATTCTAATAGAAGCCATTAATGTTGTCTTTTGAATCTGTATTCAGAAAAACTGCTGCATCATAGACCAGCATGGGACATGGACATGGGAGTCTCCTGGTGGACGGTTCCACAACAAAACTGACCACATAATATTCAATCGACAATTTTGCCTGACCAATGTCGCTGTTGTCCCAAAATTCCAAATGGAATGGGACCACCGTCTCCTTCATGCAAAATTCTACTTCATGGATTGGGGAGAAAGGGCTGCAAAGTTTAAGAAAACAACTCCCAGAACGACCATGAACTGGGAGTTCTTTGGCACTATTGTGGTAACATGGGAAGATGCCATTGTTGACAACATTGACGAGGAATACGATCGACTGGTTCAACACCTTCATGAGTGTATGAAGAATGCTGAGAGAGAGATAGCCACAAAAAGAAACCTGTCCTCAAAAACTCCCGAGCTCATTTGCCAACATGGCTTGGCGCAAGCCTCAGGCAACTGCAAGCGAATGTCTGAGCTTGCAAAACAGAGCAGAGAAGCGATAAAGGAAGATCTCAAAGAGAGAAGAGCAGCAGTGCTGGCAGATGCAGCAGAAGCCAGGAAAAGCATTCGCAATGCCTGCCTGTCCTTTGCCAACTACAAGACCAAGATGACTGCCCTCCGACGTCCTGATGGATCTATCACATCTTCCAGAAGGGCAATGGAGAAGATTATCCGTGACTTCTACTTGGATCTCTTCGATAGTCACATCCACCTGCCCACATACCAAATTCTGCAGGATAGATATGTCGTTTCTAACAATCTCCCTTCTGAAATTCGACACACCATATCCTCAGTAATGAAGCCAACAGCACCCGGCCCAGACAGGGTCAGACCCTATGAAGAAACTACCGTCAGTACTCATCAATACACTGGCTTGGCTCTTCACATGCTACCTGTCTGAATGCAAGGTTCCGTCCCAATGGAAAACCAACAGGACTGTACTACTGTACAAGAAGGGAGACATCCATGACATTGGCAACTATCGCCCGATCTACCTATTGTCTGTCATCTACAAGCTGTTCACTCGAGTCATCCTGAATAGGATTGGCAGAACACTAGATAAAGGACAACCATGAGAGCAAGCCAGGTTCTGCAAAGGATTCAGCACGATCGCCCATATCCACACAATAACCACCTCACTGAGGTTTCTCAGGAGTTCCAGATGCCTCTCTGTCTAACGTTCATTGATTTAAAGAAGGCTTTTGATTCTGTTGAGACTGAAGCAGTCATCGAAGCCCTAGCCAAACAGGGTGTTCAAACTCAATAGATCACAATCCTCCGTGAACTGTATTACAGATTCACTACCAGAATCTCACCATTCTACAAGGAAGTGATCATCGATGTCAAGAGAGGGGTTTGGCAGGGTGATACCATTTCACTGAAACTCTTCAGTGACACCCTCGAGAACATCATGTGACAACTGGAATGAAAAGGAATGGGAGTAAAGCTAGATGGTCGGCAACTACACCACCTCCACTTTGCTGATGACATTTTTCTAATAACACCAAACATTAGCCAAGTGGCACAAATGCTGGCCAACTTCGACCATGAGTGTGGAAAAGTCAGACTATAGCTGAATATCACAAAAACAATGTTTATGAGAAACAAGTCTCCTTCCTGATGTTCTATTCGCTATCAACAGAACAAACATCTCCGAATGCAACAGTTATGTGTACCTAGGTCAAGAAGTCAACATGATGAATAACTTGGCACCTGAGTTGCACAGGAGGAAGAGAGCAGCTTGGAACACCTTCAAGAGCATCAAAGAAATAGCTAAGAGGATGAAGAACCTCCAGCTCTGAGCATATCTCTTTGATTCCACTGTTCTTCCTGCATTAACATATGCCTCAAAGACCTGGGCCCTACGAAAACAGGATGAGGACACTATTTGGGTCTCCCAAAGAGGAATCGAAAGAGTTATGCTGGAGTATCATACTTCACTCAAATGAGAGAAAGAATTCGGAGTTCCAATCTCCATTGACAGTCAAGAATCAGGGACACTGTCTCATTTGCCAAGGCGACAAAAATCAGATTAGGCTGGACACGTAGTGAGATTTGGAGACAACGGCTGGACTAGAGCCATTAC